GAAGGAGCTCTTCCCCTCACCCCAGTTGAGAAACTTCCTGAGAGATGATGACTCTCTCCGACCCTGTGGGGTAGTGGGTGCTGTGATTTGTCACCTTCCTTTGTCAGATAAGGCTGTGTCTGGTGGAAGCAGTCGTACCAGCTTCCCTGTAGCCCCACATTAAAGCTGAGTGGGGAGAGTGAGGGAGAGGGCCCTGTGCTATTGTGAAAGGGGAGGATTTGATGCTGTTAGAGTTAGATAAGGTCTGGGGAGAATGATTTGCAGGACGGCCATTTCCAACTGTGCAACTCTGCTACAATTTACATGTGTAACACTGGGTAACTTAATTGATCTCCCTAGTGTCACTTTGATTTATAATGTGTGAATAATTCTTACCATGCAAAGGCTTGTAAGATTTATTGTATATAAAGTGCCCATCACGTAAGGGGTGTCAACGAGTGAGAATCTGCTGCTGTGACTATTGTTATTAATAATGTTGCTATTATCCCTTTCCCCAAGTCTTCATATTTAACAATTATTTTTCTAAAACACACCTGTATGAATGTTATTGTCCTCCTTGTAAACCATTAGTAGCTCCCCATTAACTATTGAATATAGTTGAATTTCCTTAACTACTACATGTTTTTTTCAGACCCTTCAGGATCTGGTCCCTGTAATCTTTTCAACCTCGTTTTTTTTTTGATGTTTAATTTTTTTTTTTTTTTTTTGAGACAGTCTTACTCTGTTGCCCAGGATGGAGTGCAGCATCGCCATCTTGGCTCATTACAACCTCTGCCTCCCCAGCTTAAGGGATTCTCCTACCTCAGCCTCCCAAGTAGGTGGGATTATAGGCATGTGCCATCATGCCCAGCTAATTTTTGTATTTTTAGTAGAGATAGGGTTTCACCATGTTGACCATGCTGGTCTTGAACTCCTGGCCTTGCTTAAGTGATCCATTCACCTTAGCCTCCCAAAGTGTTGTAATTATAGGTGTGAGCCACTGTACCTGGTCTTTAGCCTCATCTGTAAGTTCCTTTATACCCTGTGCTGTTGTCTATACATCTCTTCTCCTGTGAATAGGAAAGTAAAGTATTCTACATCTGTGCCTTTGCTGATGTTGTTCCCTTGTCTTGGAATGAACTTTCACCCACTACCTTCCCTCTCTTTTTATCAGATTCCTCCTCTCCTCCTTTCTTTCCATTCTTTCCTCTTCTCTTCTCTACTGTATGCTTTTCTTCTCTTCTTCTCTTTCTTTTTTTGAGACAGGGTCTTGCTATATTGCCCAGGCTGGAGTGCAGTGGCTATTCATAGGTGCAATCCTACTACCGATCAGCACGGGAGTTTTGACCTGCACCATTTTCGTCCTGGGCTTGTTCACCCCGCTCCTTATCCTTAGGCAACCTGGTGGTCCCCCACTCCTGGGAGGTCACCATATTGTTGTCGAACTTAGTGCAGACACCCGATTGGCATAGTGAGCTACAGCCCAGAACTCCTATACTCAAGCGATCCTCCAGCCTCAGCCTCCTGAGTAGCTGGGACTACAGGCACGCTCCACTGTGCCCAGTGTCTTTTATGTTTTTTAAGCCCTAGGTTGAAACTTGAACCTGGTGGTCATTTCAGTTTTGCTTCCCTGATCTTTTTCCCTGACAGGGAGGAGCCTTCTGAGTCCACAGCACTTTTTTTTGCTCTATTACAATAGTCTACACGTTAGTTTTTTTTTTCTTCTTCACATTTTGCAAGAATCTAAGCCAATGATTTTGTAGAATGTCACACATGTTGGATTTGCATGATTATTTCCTAATTGTATTTGTTTTAATTGTTTTCAGTTATCTCTCTTAGTATTTTTGTTGTTGTTGAAAAAGGGTCTTGCTCTGTTGCCCAGGCTAGAGTGCAGTGGTGTGGTCAATGCTCACTACAGCCTTGACCTCCTGGGCTCAAGCAATCTTCTCACCCCCCAGTCTCCTGAGAGCTGGGACTATAGGTGTGTACCATCACACCTAGCTAATATTTTATATATTTTAAAGATAGAGTTTCGCCATGTTGCCCAGGCAGATCTTGAACTCCTGGGCCCAAGCCACCCTCTTGCATCGGCCTCCCAAAGTGCTGGAATTTTAAATTAGGAAACTGTTAGGATTATAATTGGCCCTCTTAGTGTTTTTTAATTTTTAGGTTACTACTGGGGCCTGTTTTGCCTTTTTTCTGTTTACTGTAATTTTATTTTAAAAATTGTATTATAGTAGAAGAGGATCAAGGATGAATATATTTGTTCTTACTTTGTTTGAGTTAATTTTGCATTCTGGCCTTATTAAGGATTTTCAAACCTAATTATTACTTTTGTATTTCCTTTATACTTTTGAAGGGAAGATAAGTATAGGGTACAGCAAAAGGGCTACTAAATGCTTAAGAAATGTTTTAATCAACTGTTTTCCTTCACTAACTGTGTGATTAGTAAAGAACTCTTTTCAGCTCTGCTTGCTATTGGGAAATTTTATTCCTAAAATATATGAGTCCTGACATTTATAGGTAGAACAAAAAGAATACTCTCTTTAGTATCTCAGTAATCACTTCTGAACATAAATTCTTATGGCTCAGGAGTTTGGATGTTGGGCATCTATAGTTTCGAATGGGATAATCATCTTTAAAACATAATCATATGATACTGGCTTGTTTTGCTTCTTTCTCACGCAGGTGAAATACAGGAAAATACCAGTTGTTCAAGTATTAAGTATTTGTTCAACTTCCATTATTTGAGATTTTACTTTATTGTATTACACATGACTAATTTACTTTTAGGAATATTTACTGAATGTAAACGTAGCACTTTTGCATAACATAGGCTTTGCATGGTTCAGTTTAGTAAGGAACACAGAAAGGGTAAGTTACATTCCATCAGCAAATGTTTTTGAGCTCCAAATGTGTATCAGACATTGTTCTGAAGCATAAGTCAGATATGATTTTTACCCCCTAAGAAATGTGTAATCTTGTGGGTGAAGTAAACCAGTAATTATAACGCAGGGTGATTCATATTACAACAGGGGAACACACAGGAGACTCTGGGAGCCCATGGTAGAAATGTAAATCAGACAGCTAAGGTGCTTGAGATTTACCACGAGGCAGAACATTTGGGTCAAGGAAATTCCAAACAGAGGGAAATTGGATGAGAGGTCACAGAGGCAAAAAATGTCACCCGTTTGGGGAATTGCAAAGAGGTAAAGCTTAAGCAATACTTAAAGCATGGTCTTCTGTTTGCCTTTGTCAGAATTATCTGGGAGCAGCTGGTTATGGTGGCTCATGCCTGTAATCCCAGCACTTTGGGAGGCCAAGGCAGGCGAATCACTGTCAGGAGATAGAGGCCACCAGCCTGGCCAACATGGTGAAACCCCGTCTGTACTAAAAACACAAAATTAGCCAGGTGTGGTGGCAGGTGCCTGTAATCCCACCTACTCGGGAGGCCGAGGCAGGAGAATCACTTGAACTCGGGAGGCACAGGTTGCAGTAAGCCAAGATTGCACCATTGCACTCCAGCCTGGGAGACAGACTGAGACTCCATTTCAAAACTAACCAAAAAAAAAAAAAAGAATTATCTGAGTGATTCTTAAACCTCCAGGTGATTCTTAGCCTTCTAGGTGGTTCTCTGACTCCCTAAAGTATGAGAAATATTCATACTTAAGAAGATGAAGAAGGAATGAAAATAATGATGTAATCTGGTGACAACAGATGCTGGAGAGGATGTGGAGAAATAGGAACACTTTTACACTGTTGGTGGGAGTGTAAATTAGTTCAACCATTATGGAAGACAGTGTGGCAATTCCTCAAGGACCTAGAAATAGAAATTCCATTTGACCCCGCAATCCCATTACTGGGTGTATATCCAAAGGATTATAAATTGTTCTACTGTAAGGACACATGCACACAAATGTTCATTGCAGCACTGTTTACAATAACAAAGACTTGGAACCAGCCTAAATGCCCATCGATGATAGACTGGACAAGGAAAATGTGGCACGTATATACCATGGAATACTATGCAGTCATAAAAAACGATGAGTTTGTGTCCTTTGTAGGGACATGGATGAATCTGGAAACCATCATTCTCAGCAAACTGACACAAGTACAGAAAATCAAACACTGCATGTTCTCACTCCTAGGCTGGTGTTGAACATTGAGAACACATGGACACAGGGAGGGGAACATCACACCCTGGGGTCTGTCGGGGAAATAGGGGAGGGACAGTGGCGGGTGGGGTGTTGGGGAGAGATAGTATGGGGAGAAATGCCAGATATAGGTTATGGGGAGGAAGGCAGCAAATCACACTGCCATGTATGTACCTATGCAAAATCTTGCATGTTCTTCACCTGTATCCCAAAACCTAAAATGCAATGAAAAAGAAAAGAGAAAAAGAATGATATGCATGTTACATTAAAGATACGTATAAAGTTCTGGCCGGGCGCAGTGGCTCACACCTATAATCCCAGCACTTTGGGAGGCTGAGGCGGGTGGATCACGAGGTCAAGAGATTGAGACCATCCTGGTCAACAAGGTGAAACCCCGTCTCTACTAAAAATACAAAAATTAGGTGGGCATGGTGGTGCATGCCTGTAGTCCCAGCTACTCAGGAGGCTGAGGCAGGAGAATTGCCTGAACCCAGGAGGCGGAGGTTGCGGTAAGCCGAGATCATGCCATTGCACTCCAGTCTAGGTAACAACAGCAAAACTCTGTCTCAAAAAAAAAAACAAAAAAGAGATGCATAAAGTTCTATGATGAGGTTCATTTATATACACTATATAACATTTCCATTTAAAACCTGTTTATTTTCCTATCCATAAATAATTTCTTTTTGGAAGGGGAGTCAGCAGAAGGAATGGGTATTACTGTAAATCTTGTCCTTTTATCTCCAGATGATTCTAAAAACAACCAGTCTGTTAATGTTTTATTCATTGACTGCTTTGTTTTTCTTTTAGTCCAAGGACAAAATGATGAGAGGCTCTCGCAGAGGATGTGTTAGACTCAGAGTGAGTATTCATTTTTATGAAAATCAATTTTGACAGAAAGAAGAAAAATGTATTTTGATAGAATTATGGAAGTCTAAAATTAGTTTAGCTTCTTAATTGTTGGGGCAGCATCTAAGTCTCAGAGAGAAAATGTGATTTCTCCAAGTAACTGCTAGTCAGTGTCAGAACCAGGACTAGAACTCATTTATTTTGGCCGGTGACTCAATGTTGTATTTATGACTTAATGCATGTACTGATTTTCTTAAAACTCTACTTTACAGACAAGAGACAAGGGCTGGAAATTAAGTGAGCTATAGTGTTAGTGGTATATCAACAGTAGAAAAAACGGAAAAATCCCCACTATTAGCTGCTGCTGCTTTGTTTTTCCTGTTTAGCACTATTTAATAATGGTATATATATATCAGTGCTGTCCAGTAGAAATACAATATAAGCCACATCTATAATTTAAGATTTTCTAGTAAGCCACATTTCAAAAATAGAAACAGGCAAAATTAATATTTTGTCTAGGTCAGTATATCTGAAATATTATTTTACCATGTAATTAATATTTGCAGTCTTTTTTTTTCATACCAAAATCCAATGTGTCTTTTACACTAAGGGTACATCTCAATTAGCTATACTTCAGAGAAGGGGATCAGTAGCTACATGTGGCTAGTGGCTGCCTTATGGGGCAGTGCAGACCTATAGCTTCATGCTGCTTTTAGTTTCCACCATTGTTCAAATAGGTAAAGGCAGGAAAGAATGCATGGCTAGGGATACAGTTTCTAGTATCCATCGTATTTAAAGAAAAGTATGCCTCTATCATAACTAGCTTAATCAGATTCTAGGAGTCTTTTCTTCAGGACCCTGTTGCCTTCTTTCCTCCATCTTCTTTTTTTTCTGCATCTTTACTTTTGAAGATGTAAATATATTTGGTAAACATATTATTGCCCTTATTAACAGTCCTTGATATACTTGGGAAATAACTTTGAGAAAGAAACCAAATTATAATGGAAAAATCCTGGCACTGAGACAGGAGTAAGTATGGGAGATTTGCAGGATGGAAATGAGACAGACCTGTTTCAAGCAGATGGTATATATGTGATAGCACAAAGATTTTTAAAAATTCAACTTCTAGTTTTTGTTTTTTCTAAAAATTTCCTTTGGTTTCCTTTTTGTCTGTTTGTTGTAATTACTTTTCTAAGCCCTTGCTGTTGACCTCAGTCACACTTAGTCTGGTATTAACTGCTCTTTTGGCTTGAGATAGGTTCAATAATGAGACTTTGGCAGAACTGTCTTGAGAGAGCACTGCAGTTGAATTCCATCTGGATTTTGGTCACTGTCTCATTGTTACAGTTAATCCACTGGTTTTGCCTGTCTTTATTTTTTTGTTTTTGCTTTTAAATATAGCTTAATTAATTATTAACCCTTCTAACTACCACCTTAAGAAATAGAATTTTTCCAGCTGCACCTGAAGCCTCTCCACCTGCCCCAATTAAATAAATTTCATCCCTTATGTGTCTCCTAAAGTAACCACTTACGTTATAGTAATCATTTCTTGCATTTGGTTATAATTTTTTTACCCAAATGTGTATCCCTAAGTCCTATAGTTTTCTTATCTATTTGTTTAGCTTGATGTCTTTTGTTTACAAGTTGTCTGTTGAAGAATCTGGACCGGCCGGTTGCTATAGCTCATGCCTTTAATCCCAACACTGGGAGGCCACTGGAGGCAGAGGATCATTTGAGCCCAGTAGTTCAAGACCAGCCTGGGAAATATAATGAGATCCCCGTCTCTAGAAAACATTTGGAAAATTAGCTGGGTGTGGTGACACATGCCTATAGACCCAACTCCTTGAGAGGCTGAGGCAGGAGGATTGCTTGAACCCAGGAAGTCAAGGCTGTAGTGAGCTATAATTGTGCCATTACCTTCCAGCCTGGGTGACAGAGTGAGACCCTGAGACGCTGTCTGAAAAAAAAAAAAAATCCAGACCCTTTGACCTGTAGGAATTTGCCGTAGTATAGATTTTACTGATTGCACAGTGGTGCAATTCACTATGTTTCTCTGTCCTTTGTTTTTGCTACAAATTGGCAGCTGGATCCAGAGACTGGATCAGACTGGATCAGGTTTGATCCCTTTGGCAAGACTCTAGGTGCTGGTGTGTTTCTTTAGCAGGAAGAACACAGTGTCTAGTTTTTGCCCTTTGTTGATATTAGCAGCTATTGATGTTTAGCACCTGCACCCATTAACTCATTGAGGGTTGCAAAATGATGACAGTCTATCATTTTGTTTTAATTTTTATCAGAAATAATTTTATAAGGAAACACTTCATCTATTATTTGGTTACCCAGTGGTGCAGTTAAAATAGAATGACTGATTATTTCCTTTTATTTACCAGATTTTCAGGATAATGAATTGGCTTCAAAAACAACCATTTATATGTGTGTTTACATATATATATTTCCAAAAGAATTGGAAACAGGGACTGAAACAGATGCTTACATATCCATGTTCATAGGAGCATTATTTCCAGTATTCACAGTAGCCAAGAGGTGAAAAGGATCCAAATGTCCATCCACTGATGAATGGATAAAAAATGTGCTTATAAATACAATGGACTATTAATCAGCCTTATAAAGGGAGGAGATTCTGACACATGCTGCAACATAGATGAACCTTGAGGATTACTATGCTAAGTGAAGTAAGCCAGTTACAAAAAGACAAAAGAGGTATGATTCCATTTATGTGGGATACCTAGAGTAGCCAGATTCAGAGACAGAAAGTAGAATGGTGGTTTCCAGGGGTTAGGAGTAGGGGAAATGAGGACTTAGTATTTAATGAATATGGAGTTTTCAGTTTGGAAAGATGAAAAAATTCTGGAGATGGATGTGATGATGGTGATTATCATATCATGAACAATGTGAATGTCCTTAATGCCACTGAATTGTACATTTAAAAATGGTTACAGTAGTAAGTTTCATGTTAGTATGTTTTACCATCACACAAAAATACCCATTATTTTACAGTTTTATAGGTCAGACATCTCAGTTGGGTTTTGTGCTTAAGGTCTCATATGACTGAAATCAAGGAGTTGGCTGGGCTGGACCCTTATCTGGAGACTCTGAGGAAGAGTCCTCTTCCAGGCTCACTCAGGGCATTTGCAGAATTCAATTTCTTGTGGTTGTAGAACTGAGGCCCTGTTTTGATGTTGTTGTTGTTGTTGGCTGTAAGTTGTGTTCTGCTTTCAGCTTCTTGAGGCTGCACATATTCTTGGTCATGTGGCCTAGACCCTTCCATCTTCATGTCAGTGATGTGCATTGAATCATTCTGGTCCTCTGAATCTCTCTGACTTCCCATTCTGCTGTCAGCTGCAGAAAATGCTCTGCTTTTAAAAGACCTTATGTGATCACATCAGATTAGGTTTATCAGATGATCTTCCTTTTGTCACGTAATGTAACATAATCACTCCTGCAGTATCTCATCATATTCACAGTTTTCATCCATACTCAAGGGGGAGGACATTATACAGGGGCAAGGGTCTGTGAGGGTCATTCTTAAAATTCTGCCTACTACACAGCATGACAGAAAAGAACCAAATATATCTGTGTTTGAATCCCATTTTCACCCATTGCTTTGTTTGCTGGAAAAGGGAAGCTGTCATAAGCTTCCTGAGCTTGAGTTTCTTTTCTTTAAGGTGGAGATTATACTCTTCTTGCAGAATTTTGTGAGGATTAGGTCCTGGCACATAGATAGAACCTATTAATTAGAGGTGTATATGTGTGTGTCCATGTCCCACCGTGTGTACACACGTGCATTTTACTAGGCTTTGTGGTATTTTCCAAAAATTAGACTGCTGAGGCTTCTTAGTCAATAAATATCTGGAGGGTTTGTTTACAATGCAGATACCAAGTCCACCTTCTAGATAGGTTGCTTTAGTGTAGTGTTCCGGAATCTTTATTTTTAAACAGATTATGCAGGTAATTGTGTTGTGTAACCACGTATGAGACCACTGGTGTAGAAACAATCAGAAAGATCTGGGGCTGAATTTTACTCAGCTCTTCCCTTACTGACTCTGACATTGAACAAATTTCTTGACTTTTATGAGAATACCATGATATAACTGGTAGGGTTGTTGTTAGGCTTATTAGTTATATATGTATAGGAAATGGTAACTGCTATGGATGACGATGATGATGATGGTGAATATAGTGCTGATAGACACTGCATCTAGATTCCAAATGAGCTTAATGGGCCATCATTGACTGCACCACTGATCTTGCCCCTGCCTCATCCATCCCATCCTATATTTGAATCATACTATGTTTCTTCCTGTTCCCTCACTGTGCTTCTTCATTCCTCATTGCTTCTGACTTTTTTTTTTCTTATATCATGGAAGGGTTCTGCACCTTCTGATGAGCTCATCTCTTAAGAGACTTTTCAAATGTTACCTCTTCTGTGAAGCCTTTCTGATTCACATACTTCTAATAGGTTTAATTCTCCCCCATCCTCTACTTTTTTTTCCTTCTCCTGCTCCTCTTTCTTTTCATTCTCACCTCCCGCCTCTTTTGACAGGATCTTGCTCTGTCACCCAGGCTGGAGTGCAGTGGTGCAATCACAGTTCATTACAGCCCCAAATTCCTGGGCTCAAACAATCCTCCTGCCTCAGCCTCCTGAGTAGCTAGGACTATAGGTGTGTGCCAACACACCCAGGTAATTAATTTTTTTTTTTTTTTGGAGACGAGGTCTCACTGTGTTGCCCAGGCTGGTCTTAAACTCCTGGCCTTAGGCAGTTCTCCTAACTCAGTCTCCCAAAGCATTGGGATTACAGGCACCAGCGACCATACCTGGCCTGTCATTTTACATTTGTAATTTAGAGCCGTGAAATTACTTGTTGCATTGTATTACATGTTAATGTTTCTGTTTTCCCTGCTTGGATAATAAGTTCCCATCCACTGTCATACTTGCCTGGCACATAATAAATACTCAAAAATGCTTGTTGTTAATTTTATGTATTTATAAAAATAATCAGTACATTTTGGGAAATTTGCCTTTACTATGATTTACATACGAAAGAACTATGGGAGTTATTTATCTTAAACATAATATGAGCTAGCAGTATGATATATTTTCTGAAAAAGAAAGCAAAATATCCATGTGAATATAAGCTATGTAAAAGAAGAATGGGGAAAGGAACCATAGAGGAAACCCAGATCAGGCACTGTGCTAGATGATTTTCATACACATTCCCGTCATAACCCTGTAAGGTAAATGAGTTTGTAATTTCGTTTTGCAGATGAGAACACTGAGACTCACATTACTTTTAGTAACTTATCAAGGTCACATAGACATGGTGAATCTGAGATTGGACTTGGATCTTATTTAAAAGCCCTGTTCAATTCTTGACTTTACTAGGCTCCCATTCCTCTGGACTAGAAGAGTGAATTCAGATACTGTAAGTTGTTGTAAGGTAGTGTAAAACCAGTGGAGGAAAGCAGAAAAGTGAAAAACTTTTTTTGTGTTGGTTACGAAGTGTGTGCCACTAGATGGTGCCCTTTTCTTGATGAAGAAGTAAAATGTTGCTTTAGTCCTGTGATCTGATTCCTTTGCATAGCAGTCAAAACCAAAACATTGACATTTTCAGATATCTGGAAAATGGAGATGTAACAACATTAAAGAGGCAATGTGGCCTGGTCTCGGTGGCTTATGCCTGTAACGCCAGCACTTTGGGAGGCCAAGGCAGGAGGATAACTCGAGTCCAGGAGTTGGAGACTAGCCTGGGCAACATAATAAGACTTCTTTTCTACAAAAAAAGGACAAAATTATCTGGGTGTGGTAGATTCTACCTCTAGTCCTAGCTACTTGGAAGGCTGAGGTGGGAGGATCACTTGAATGCAGGAGGTCAAGGCTGCAGTGAGCTGAGATCATACTGCTTGCACTCCAACCTGGGTAACAGAGGAAGACATTATATCAAAAAAAAAAAAAAAAAAAAAGGATATAGTGGCAAAAACAAATACAGGGCATGTATGTAATGAAATTCAGATTTGGATTCTGTCACATTCTGGTGTTGTGACTTGAGGCAACTTTTCAGCCCTGAGCCCTATTTTCTTTCTCTGGAATAGGCATCATGCCATTTACTCATAGTATTGTGAGTATCAAATTAGTTAATATATCTTGAAAAGTACCCCAAAACAGTGTTTGGAACTTAATAGGATCTAAATGAATGGTAGTTGTTATAATTTATAATTGCTATTAATACAGATGAATCTCAGATTCTGAAGAATTCTAAAGGGCCTTAGGAACCATCAAAGAAAGATAAATTATATTAAACAAAGTTTTAATGCTAAATATATTACACATCTATGAAAACTATTAATCCACATATGATTTAGAGTAACTCTCTTTCACTCAGTCCAATGAAACTGAGTACTTCATTTCCCTATTGTGCTAGTTATCAGAATTGAATGTGCTTTCCTGAGGGATGCATTATCCACTTTTCTTTTAGTCTATCACAAGAGGAGTCAGTAGTGTACCATGACAGAATATTAATATTTTCAGCACTGACTTCTGTTACTGCCCTGTTTCATTGATACCATGACATTTTTTGTCACAGTGTAATAAGGTATTATTTTTAGGTTAATGTATAACCTTAAGAATGTCTTCCTTTTCCCTTGGATCTGTATCTGGTAAGAACTTTAATCAATTGTCTTATCATTACACTGTGAAAATTCACTCTATTTATTTTGGCTTTTGTTGTTAATTCAATAGCCTTTTTGTAAGCTCTTTGTCTTCCCTATGAATTTAATATTGAAAATATCCTCCCTTGGGCTAGATGTAAACATCTATTTAATCTCTGTGATTGGCACCTAGATGTCATTAATGCTATATTTTATGAATGTTTATACTGTTTCATAATTACAAATTAAATGAAAAAGAAAGTGATGGAAGAATATATTCCAGGCAAGTGCTAACCATAAGAAAGCTCGGAAATGGAATTAATATCAGACATAGAATACTAAGAAAATAAATTAAATTGTTATGGAAAAAGAGAATACCAAAGACACAGTATCACATAGATAACATTTTTTGATAACAATGGAATAAATTAGAAATCCCTTGACAAAACAGTAGCCACCCATCTCACACACATACTTCTGAATAATTCATTGGTGAAAGTAGAAATCAGAATAGAAATTGTAAAATATTCAAATCTGATTAATAATGAAAGAACTACATGTTAAAACTGCATCTATGGAAATCTGTGATTTATAATCTTAAATGAATATATTATAAAACAGATTGAGAATTAATGATCTAAGCATTAAATTTTTTAAATTAGGGAAAGAAAAGTATTACAAAAGGAAATAGAAGAAAATAACAAAAAGAATACATTAATGAAATTGGAAATAAACATTAGAAAGCATAAACAAATTGAACTGTGATTCTGTGAAAGTAATAAATCCTGGTTAGAGTGAGAGAAAAACAGCAAAGGTACAAATAAATAATATTAAGAATGAAAAAAGAATTTTTAGTGATCATAGTAGAGATGAAAAATTGACAGCAACCTACTACAAATAATTTTTGCCCATAAATTTGAAAGCTTACATGAAAATGGATAATTTCTCACACAAGTATCAATCCCCAAAATTAGGCTATCAAATAACTTGACAAGGTGATTCTAAAAGTTATTTAAAATTTGGGAGAGGGGGCCGGGCACGGTGGCTCATGCCTATAATCCCAGCACTTTGGGAGGCCGAGGTGGGCGGATCACAAGGTCAAGAGATTGAGACTATCCTGGCCAACATGATGAAACCCCATCTCTACTAAAAATACAAAAAACTTAGCCAGGTGTGGTGGCACACAACTGTAGTCCCAGCTACTCGGGAGGCTGAGGTGGAAGAATCGCTTGAATCCAGGAGGCGGAGGTTGCAGTAAGTCAAGATTATGCCACTGCAATTGGGGAAAGGGGAGAGCTATTTTTAAAGAATAAGGAGTTGGTCGACTTGCCACTCCAGATAGTAAGGTTTTTAAATGAAAGTATGGTAATTAAAATGGTATGGTGGTAAAAGAGAAAGAAATGATTAGCAGAACTGAAGAAAAAGATGAAAAATAGAACTATTTGGACTTGGGTCTTGGAATAAGCTGGAAATTTGGTATATGATAAAACATTACAAATCAGACATTATTGCTTAGTAAATGAAGCTGGATCAATTGAGTGTTCATATGAAAAAAGAATATTACTCTTTCTCCCATGTGATATACGGAAACAAATTTCAGATGTATTAGAAGTATAAAATGAAATTTTAAACTTAGAAGAAAAGCATAGACGAATGTCTTTATGATGTCAAAATAGAGCAGAAAGCGTAAACCATGATAGCAAATATTTGTGGATTTGGCAGCCTTCAAAATTTAAAATGTTTGAACAAAAAAATATACCACAATCAAAGGGAAAGACAACTCATGGACAGGAGAGAAAATACTGACAAGACATAAATTAGCAAAGGATTCATACTCCATATGTATAAATAACTTCTGCATATTAATAAGACAAAAAGAAAATCCCCCCAAATGCATACACATCAGTAAAGAAGACAAAAGAGTACTCGAAATGTAGAAAAGTTATATACTTCTCTAGTTATAGGCCTAGAAGCAAAGAGGAGTTAAAAAAAAAAAAGAAAAGTTATATACTTTTCAATTCATATAAGAGGGAACAAGAAGGTAAAATGTTGAGTACAAAAAGCAAAGCAAATTGTTTACTACTCTGTTACTGGCACCTAGGACCGGGCCTAGAAATTCGATAAATACTTGTTGAATCAATAAATGAATGATGCTAAAGTAGGTCCTCCATGCAGCATCTTTAGTGAGCAGGTTGAACCTCAAGCTGTCCTGCTTCCTTGTATATTACTGATTCTCTTGCTCTTCTCTAGACTGTATGCTCCTTCAGGGCATAGACGTTTTATATCCCCTGGCTGTTACTGTTCTTGGCCCAGAATAGTTATAAGTATGTTGAAGTAATTAGTGAATATTGTTTACTGTCACCATGTCCTGTTAAGAACAGACTTTGGATCAGGGGTTGCAAGACCTATTATTATTCTCCCTTTTAGTTGTTGGACGTTTGGCAAACTTAAAAAATTTTTTGTTAAAAAGAAATATATATTTTTTGGCCAGCGCAAGTGGCTCACGCCTGTAATTCCACCAGTTTGGGAGGCTGAGGCGAATGGATCATGAGGTCAAGGGATCGAGATCATCCTGGCCAACATTTTTAGTAGAAACCCTGTCTCTACTAAATATGCAAAAATTAGACAGGCATGGTGGCTCTCACCTGTAGTCCCATCTACTCAGGAGGTTGAGGCAGGAAAATCCCTTGAACCCGGGAGGTAGAGGTTGCAGTGAGCTGTGATGTTGCCACTACACTACAGCCTGGCGACAGAGCAAGACTCCATCTCAAAAAAAAAAAAAAAACAGAAAAAAAAATTGTTTTTTAACCTGAGTCTTCGTTTCTTAATCTCTGAAGAAGAGTAATAACCTGTTTTGCCTAAGTCTCAGAGCGCATATTTAAGTGCACTATGTGAATGTAAGTAGACTTCTGATGTCATTTAAGCAGTGATGAGAAGTATGTGGTTGTGAAGTTATAACGGGAGTAACTATGCTGTATATTCTTAGCACTGTCTACATTCCTTTTAGGAGCATGTGAGCAATCTATGTCCCAGAGGAGTCATCATTCTTTTTTTGTTATCTTTGGAACCAATTCACCAGCCCACTTTTCTCTTCTTTTTGAAAAGGGAGATTGGCCCTAAAATAGCCAGATTTCTGTTTCTTTCCTTCTTTTTTTCCCCAAGCCATGAGAGCAAAACTATCTTTCTGTCTTTGGCATCAGAATGATGATTCATGGCTGAAGTATGTCTGTGTGTATAGTATAAAAGGAAAAGAGGGAAAGTCAGGAAATTCATCCAGTTGGATAAGACTGTGTAACTTGGGTTTCTATTTGGTGCCTCAATAGTGTGACCCTGGAGCAACAGGCATCTTGGTTACCTCAAGTACTGATAGAACTTTAAGATGTTGACCATCTGAAACCTTCAGAAAGAAAATCGTGAGAGGTCACTGAAAGATATATATGTTTACTATATATCTTTATATATAGACCTTTAGCACAATAGGTCTTAGAAGTGGAGTTGATATAAAAATGATATTTTTGTGGGTTGGTATAACAAATAACTTTTCTTAACAATATAACACCATTTTATATATAGATTATCAAAGGGAGTTTTGCTTTACCAGAGAGAAACAAAAAAGTACTCTAAACCCAGATAAAGGGAGAGGAAGGATGAATGGTGTTTGTCTCAGGCAGAGGGAACATGTGGAAAATGTGGTGTTGGGGGACAACTTGGGGCAATTGGTAAGCTTTAAGCTATTTAAGTGTAGAATAGAGAGGTAGGCATGGAGCAAATCATTAAGGGCCTTGTAGGCTAGGCTGTGGCAGAAAGTGATCACATCCCATTAACCAGAAGCACTTGAGAATGAAAGGGGATCTATCTAGTCATTATTGAGTCAGGACAACAGGAATAATCCAGGATTGTTTCAGGCAAACCAGGTTGTGAAGGTGAAGAAGAGCCATTGATGTGGTAACATCCTCCAAGGAATGGAACGTTAAAATAATTAATAGACTAGAGGATTGGAGAGCTGAATATCTTGACTGAAAGGGAATAAGAGAGGCAGGTCAGGTGAGGCATTGCTAGGTGAGGACATGGAATTGAAAAGGGCTATCGTTAAAGAGGTTAAAGACTTGAGTCTTGAGGATGTGTAAATGCAGTTGGGAAAAAGAGAGAGAGAAGAAAAAGAGAGACCAGGAAGAGAGAGAGAGACAGAAATTGAAAATTGGCAGGGATACGGAGCATGAGTATAGAAGGACTGGGTTTTAGAAAGAAGAGTGGATGCCTTTTCTATTATGATAAATGGAAAAGAAGCATACTGAGTTTAGATGCAAGTGAGTCTTCAGGTGGGAGAGTATAGCAGGAAGGTTTAGAATTTCTACCCAGTGGCTGCTTTTGTTGTTGGGAGTCAATGAATAAAGCAGTAAAATACATATAAGGATTGGAGTAGAAGTATTAAGGCTATTATTCATGGCAACCTAATTGAGCATATGGAAAATCCAAAAGAATCTACAGATGGAGAGGACTCAAGATGGCGCTGTGAGAACAACCCAGGATTGAAGCTTGCGGTCAGTGTGCGGAAGGGGTGAGTCAGGGCCGCATTTCCAGACGGATCTTTGTTGCCCACAGAACGGGGAAATTCCTAGGTATAGAAGGAGACACGGGACGCCAGGCAGAGGTTTTGGCTGGTACAGCCGGCAGCCGGTGCGGCAGCTGCCCGCGCTGTGGTGGCGCTACACAGCGGTCTGCACAAAGCGTGCTCGTACGGGTGCCCTGTTGGGCCGGCAACCTGAGACTTGGGAGGGCTGAACTTGAGACTGAATGGGACTTGGACAGTGAGCCAGCCCAGGAGATTTTAGGGTGACAGCGTTTGGGGTAGCGCAGTGGGACAAACAAAACGGCGATTCCAAACGCTCCCCGTGGAGGGGTTCCCTGAGGCCGCAGCTCTGTGGGGGAGGGGCGTCTGCCATTACCGAGGCAAACTGCCCCTACTGAGGTACACGCCCATTGCTGACAGCCTGCTGTTGCTGAGGAAACCCGCTACAACAGAGAGACTCCGCCGCAGGGCGTAGCCCGTGGCAGCAGGGCGGAGACAGCAGCAGAAGGGGAGAGCCTGCAGCAACAGGGCGAACCTCACAGCAGCAGGGCGGAGCCTCGGCAGGCAAATAGTGACTAGACTGCCTCCTAGCTGGGCAGGACAGCGCCGCGGACACTCACAAGGAAAGCCCCAACCCCCCCAGACAGAGCATCTGAGAAAAAAAGCGTTTTTTTTTATGAGTTATGTTGCAGCAGAATTAAACATAGCAGCCTAACAGCCCTGAATGAACAACAGAGCTCACAGCTCAGCACTTGAGCTCCTACAAAGTACAGACTGTCTCCTCAAGCAGCTCCTTGACCCCTCTATATCCAAAAGACTGACATTTGGCAGGCATCATTCTGGGACAAAGATAGCAGAAAAAGAAACTGGTAGCATCCCTCACTGTTCCGCAGCTGCTAAAGGTGCACCCCAGAGAAGCAGGGCCTGGAGTGGACCTCAGCAGTCGTACAGCGAAGGGGCTAGACTGGTAGAAGGAAAACCAAGTAACAGAAATACTTCATCATCAACAATCTGGGTGTCCACTCAGAGACCCAATCGAAAAGTCAGCAACTACACAGACGACAGGTGGATAAATCCACAAAGATGGGAAGAAACCAGCGCAAAAAGGAGGAAAACACCCGAAAACAGAACACCTCACCTGCTAGAAAGGACCAAAACTCCTCACCAGCAAGGGAACAAAGCTGGATGGAGAACGACTGTGACGAAATGACGGAATTAGACTTCAGAAGGTGGATAATGAGAAACTTTTGTGAGCTAAAAGAACATGTTTTAAATCAATGCAAAGAAACTAAGAACCTTGAAAAAAGATTCGAGGAAATGATAACAAGAATGGATAACTTAGAGAGGAATATGAATGAATTAAAGGAGCTGAAAAACACAATACAAGAACTTCACAAAGCATGCACAAGTTTCAGTAGCCGAATTGACCAAGCAGAAGAAAGAATATCAGAAGTTGAAGATCAACTCAATGAAATACAACGAGAAACCAAGATCAGAGAAAAAAGCGCAAAAAGGAATGAACAAAGTCTCCAAGAAATGTGGGACTATGTGAAGAGACCTAACCTACGTTTGATAGGCGTACCAGAATGTGACGAAGAGAATGAATCCAAGCTGGAAAATACTCTTCAGGACATTATCCAGGAAAATTTCCCCCACCTAGCAAGACAGGCCAACACTCAATTGCAGGAAATACAGAGAACACCACAAAGATATTCCGCAAGAAGAGCAACCCCAAGGCACATAATTGTCAGATTCAACAAGGTTGAAATAAAGGAGAAAATACTAAGGGCAGCCAGGGAGAAAGGTCGGGTCACCCACAAAGGGAAGCCCATCAGACTCACAGCAGATCTCTCGGCAGAAACCCTACAAGCCAGAAGAGAGTGGGGGCCAATATTCAACATCCTTAAAGACAAGAACTTTCAACCCAGAATTTCATATCCAGCCAAACTGAGCTTCAGAAGTGAAGGAAAAATAAAATCCTTTGCGAACAAGCAAGTACTCAGAGAGTTTGTCACCACCAGGCCTGCTTTACAAGAGCTCCTGAAAGAGGCACTACACATAGAAAGGAACAACCAGTACCAGCCATTCCAAAATCACACTAAATGCTAAAGAGCATCAACATAATGAAGAATCTACAACAACTAACGGGCAAAACAGCCAGCTAGCATCAAAATGGCAGTATCAAATTCACACATAACAATATTAACCCTAAATGTAAATGGACTAAATGCACCAATCAAAAGATACAGACTGGCAAATTGGATAAAAATCCAAAACCCATCAGTGTGCTGTATTCTGGAAACCCATCTCACATGCAAGGATACACAAAGGCTCAAAATAAAGGGATGGAGGAAGATTTACCAAGCAAATGGAGAGCAAAAAAAAGCAGGAGTTGCAATTCTCATCTCTGATAAAATAGACTTTAAAGCAACAAAGATCAAAAGAGACAAAGAAGGCCATTACATAATAGTAAAAGTATTGATACAACAAGAAGAGCTAACGATCCTAAACATATATGGACCCAATACAGGAGCACCCAGATACATAAGGCAAGTTCTTAACGACTTACAAAGAGACTTAGACTCCCACACAATAATAGTGGGAGACTTTAACACTCCACTGTCAATATTAGACAGATCAACCAGACAGAAAATCAACAAGGATATCCAGGGCTTGAACTCAGACCTGGAGCAAGCAAACCTGATAGACATTTACAGAACTCTCCACCCCAAATCCACAGAATATACATTCTTCTCAGCACCACATCACACCTACTCTAAAATTGACCACATAATTGGAAGTAAAGCACTGCTCAGCAAATGCAAAACAACTGAAATCATAACAAACAGTCTCTCAGACCATAGTGCAATCAAGTTAGAACTCACAATTCAGAAACCAACCCAGAACCGCACAGCTTCATGGAAACTGAACAAGTGGCTCTTGAATGTTGACTGGATAAACAATGAAATGAAGGCAGAAATAAAGAAGTTCTTCGAAACCAATGAGAACGAAGACACAACATGCCAGAATCTCTGGGACACATTTAAAGCAGTCTCTAGAGGAAAGTATATAGCAATAAGTGCCCATATGAGAAGAATGGAGAGATCCATAATTGACACCCTATCGTCAAAATTGAAAGATCTAGAGGAGCAAGATCAAAAAAACTCAAAACCCAGCAGAAGACAAGAAATAACTAAGATCACAGCTGAACTGAAGGAGATTGAGACACGAAAAACCCTTCAAAAAATCAATAAATCCAAGAGCTTGTTTTTTGAAAAGATCAACAAAATAGACAGACCACTAGCCAGACTGATTAAAAAGAAAAGAGAGAACAACCAAATAGATGCAATAAAAAATGATAAAGGGGAAATCACCACAGATTCCACAGAAATTCAAAACAACATCAGAGAATATTACAAACAACTCTATGCACACAAACTAGTAAACCTGGAAGAAATGGATAAATTCCTGGACTCCTGTGTCCTCCCAAGCCTAAACCGGGAGGAAGCTGAAACTATGAATAGACCAATAACAAGGACAGAAGTGGAGGCAGCAATTAAGAGCCTACCACACAAAAAAAGCCCAGGTCCAGATGGGTTCATAGCCGAATTCTACCAGACACACAAAGAGGAGTTGGTACCATTCCTTCTGAAACTATTCCAAATAATCCAAAAAGAAGGAATCCTTCCCAATATCATCCTGATACCAAAACCCGGCAGAGACCCAAGAAGAAAAGAAAACTTCAGGCCAATATCCATGATGAACATAGATGCAAAAATCTTCAATAAAATATTGGCAAGCCGATTGCAACAGCAAATCAAAAAACTTATCCATCATGATCAAGTAGGATTCATCCCGGGGATGCAAGGCTGGTTCAACATACGCAAGTCTATAAACGTAATTCACCACATAAACAGAACCAAAAACAAAAACCACATGATTATCTCAATTGACGCAGAGAAGGCATTGGACAAAATTCAACAGCCCTTTATGCTAAAAACCCTCAATAAACTTGGTATCGATGGAACATATCTCAAAGTAATAAAAGCTGTTTATGACAAACCAACAGCCAATATCATACTGAATGGGCAAAAACTGGAAGCATTCCCTTTGAAATCCGGCACTAGACAAGGATGCCCTCTTTCACTACTCCTATTCAATATAGTACTGGAAGTTCTAGCCAGAGCAATCAGGCAAGAAAAAGAAATAAAGGGTATTCAAATAGGAAAGGTGGAAGCCAAATTGTCTCTATTTGCAGACGACATGATAGTATACCTAGGACACCCCATCGCCTCAGCCCAAAAACTCCTGAAACTGATAAGCAACTTCAGCAGTCTCAGGATATAAAATCAATGTGCAAAAATCACAAGCCTTCCTCTACACCAATAACAGACTTAAAGGAAGCCAAATCAAGAACGAACTGCCATTCACAATTGCTACAAAAAGAATAAAATACCTTGGAATACAACTCACAAGGAATGTAAGGGACCTCTTCAAGGAAAACTACAAACCACTGCTCAACGAAATCAGAGAGGACACAAACAGATGGAGAAACATTCCATGTTCATGGTTAGGAAGAATTAATATCGTAAAAGTGGCTATACTGCCCAAAGTAATTTACAGAATCAATGCTATGCCCATCAAGCTACCATTGACTTTCTTCACAGAACTGGAAAAAAACACCATGAACTTCATATGGAACCAAAAGAGAGCCCGTATAGCCAAGTGAATTCTAAGCAAAAAGAACACAGCGTGGGGCATCACACTACCGGATTTCAAACCATACTACAAGGCTACAGTAATCAAAACAGCATGGTACTGGTACCAAAACAGAGATATAGACCAATGGAACAGAACAGAGGCATCAGAGGCAACACAACATATCTACAACCATACAATCTTTGATAAACCCGACAAAAACAAGCAATGGGGAAAGGATTCCCTGTTCAACAAATGGTGTTGGGAAAACTGGCTAGCCATGTGCAGAAAGCAGAAACTGGACCCCTTCCTGACACCTTACACTAAAATTAACTCCAGATGGATTAAAGATTTAAACATAAGACCTGGCACCATAAAAACCCTAGAGGAAAATCTAGGCAAAACCATTCAAGACATAGGAGTAGGCAAGGACTTCATGAACAAAACACCAAAAGCATTGGCAACAAAGGCCAAAATAGACAAATGGGACCTAATCAAACTCCACAGCTTCTGCACGGCAAAAGAAACAGTCACTAGAGTGAATTGGCAACCAACAGAATGGGAAAAAATTTTTGCAGTTTACCCATCTGACAAAGGGCTGATATCCAGAATTTAGAAAGAACTCAAACAGATTTACAGGAAAAAAACAAACAAGCCCATTCAAAATTGGGCAAAGGAGATGAACAGACACTTTACGAAAGAAGACATATATGAGGCCAACAATCATATGAAAAAATGCTCATCATCACTGGTCATCAGAGAGATGCAAATCAAAACCACATTGAGATACCATCTCACACCAGTTAGAATAGCGATCATTAAAAAATCTAGAGACAACAGATGCTGGAGAGGATGTGGAGAAAAAGGAACACTTTTACACTGTTGGTGGGAGTGTAAATTAGTTCAACCATTGTGGAAGACAGTGTGGCGATTCCTCAATGCCTTAGAAATAGAAATTCCATTTGACCCAGCAATCCCATTACTGGGTATATATCCAAAGGACTATAAATCGTTCTACTATAAGGACACATGTACACGAATGTTCATTGCAGCACTGTTTACAATAGCAAAGACCTGGAATCAACCAAAATGCCCATCAATGGTAGACTGGATTGGGAAAATGTGGCACACATACACTATGGAATATTATGCAGCAATCAGAAATGATGAGTTCGTGTCGTTTGTAGGGACATGGATGAATCTGGAGAACATCATTCTCAGCAAACTGACACAAGAACAGAAAATGAAACACCGCATATTCTCACTCATAGGCGGGTGATGAAAAATGAGAACACATGGACACAGGGAGGGGAGTACTAAACACTGGGGTCTATTGGGGGGAAAAGGGGAGGGCCAGCGAGAGGGGGAGGTGGGGAGGGATAGCCTGGGGAGAAATGCCAAATGTGGGTGAAGGGGAGAAAGGAAGCAAAACACACTGCCATGTGTGTACCTATGCAACTGTCTTGCATGTTCTGCACATGTACCCCCAAACCTAAAATGCAATAAAAAAAAAAAAAAAAAAAGAATCTACAGATGGGTCGGGTGTGATGGCTCATGCCTGTAAGCCCAGCACTTTGGGAGGCCAAGGTGGGTGGACACGAGGTCAAGAGATCAAGACCATCCTGGCTAACATGGTGAAACCCCGTCTTTACTAAAAATACAAAAATTAGCCGGGCGTTTGGCACGCGCCTGTAGTCCCAACTACTCCGGAGGCTGAGGCGGAAGAATCGCTTGAACCTGGGAGGTGGAAGCTGTAGTAAGCTCAGACTGCATCACTGCGCTCCAGCCTGTTGCCAGAGCAAGACTCCACTTCAAATAAAAAAAAAAAGAATCTACAGATATAACTATTAGAATTGAGAATTTAATCTAGCAAGATAACAGGATACAAAGTTATATAAAAATCAATGCTGTTTCTATCCTAACAACTAGCAAAGAGAACATGAATTTTTAAAAATGGAGAACATTTATAATAGCATCAAAAGACATTGAGTTTTTAGGAAGAAATATTAACAAAAGATGGGTGAGACCTCTACTCAGAAAATGATAAACATTACTGAAATTTAAAAATACCTAAATAAAGGCAGCCTATTTATTTAGACTGGAAAATCCCAGTTTATTTCCAGTCAGTTGAGTCATTGTGCTGGCGTGTGTGTGTGTGTGTGTGTGTGTGTGCGTCTGTGTAACGTGTATCTGATTAAAAATTTATGAAGAACCAAGAATATTTATTCCTGATTCCTGCCTTCCCAGTTAACGTACAGAACCCAGTAGAAATGATGATTTGCTTTCATCTGCTCCTTTGGTGATGGCTAGCTATGTCTATGGTGATGATGCTTGTTTATTAAAAAAAAAATTAAAAATTGGATGATTTACTCCACCTGACATCCAAATGTAAAGCCTTCTAGAAGATAATGTAGGAGAATATTTTCATGGCCTTGGGACTGGGAAAGACTTTTTAAAGGAGACATAGAAAGCAGAACTATAAAATGTAAAGTCAATACATTGTTGAAAGGTATGATTATGTGAGTGCAAAAGCAGGCAACAGAGTGCAAGTAGATACTTGCTTAATTTATAACCATTGATAGGCTCATACCCATTATATAGAAAGAGCTCCTACGAGTAATTAGAAAAGGATAGTTCAGTCTTGTCAATGGAGAAGAAACAAACTATTTCACATAAGAGGATATTCAAATGGTCAAAAACCATGAAAAGATACTTAACCTCATCAGTTATTAGGGAAGTAGAAATTAAAACCAGTATGAGATGTCACTATTTACTTGCCAAGAATAGCTAAGATGAAAAAGTATTAGTGAAGATAGTGGAACAGGTGAAACTGTCATATACCACTGATGGGAGTATAGCTGACACAACCAGTTTTGAGGACCAGTTGATAGTATCTCCTAAAACTGATATATGTGATATATATGTTGCATGAAAGAAGCCAGAGACACAAAGGAAAATAAGTGGTATGAGTTCATTTGTATAAAATTCAAGGACAGGACCAGGCATGGTGGCTCATGCCTGTAATCCCAGCACTTTGGAAGGCTGAGGCGGGTGGATCACTTGAGGCTAGGAGTTTGAGACCAGCTTGGCCAACATGGTAAACCCTGTCTCTACTAAAAATACAGAAATTAGGCTGGGTGCGGTGGCTCACGCCTGTAATCCCAGCACTTTGGAAGGCTGAGGCCGGTAGATCATGAGGTCAAGAGATCAAGACCATCCTGACCAACATGATGAAACTCCGTCTCTACTAAAACTACAAAAATTAGCTTCGTATGGTGGTATGTACCTGTAGTCCCAGCTACTTAGGAGGCTGAGGCAGGAGAATCATTTGAACCCGAGAGGTGGAGGTTTGCAGTGAGCCAGATCGCACACTGCACTCCTGCCTGGCGACAGAGTGAGACTCTGTCTCAAAAAAAATTAGCCAGATGTGTGGTGGTACATGCCTATAATCCTAGTTACTGAGGAGGCTGAGGTATGAGTATCACTTGAGCCTGGGAGGCAGAGGTTGCAATGAGCTGAGATCACGCCACTGCAGCCCAACCTTAGCAACAGAGTGAGACTGTCTCAAAAATAAATAAGTTCAAAGACAGACTAATTTGTTATATTAGAACTAAGATAGTATTTACTTTTGGAATAGAGGGTAGGGTTAGTGGTTAAGAAGTGTTACAAGGGGAGCTTTTCTGTACATTGAGCTTGTACACTTATGATTTGTATATATGTTATATTTCAGTGTAACGTTACTTTCAAATGAGATAGTATGTGTAAGCTGCTTAGCATAATGCCTCACTCGTGAAAATGAATTCAGTTCAATAGTTGGCAGCATTAACCATTTACTGTGATTTAGTGCTCTGTGATGATAAGATTCATGGCTGTGTTATCCAGCAGAACTTTCTGCAGTAATTAAAATGTTCTGTATTTGTGCTGTTCAGTTTCACAGTCATTAGCCACAAGTAGCTGTTGAACATTTGAAATATGACCAGTGTGATATTTTAAGCAAAATTTTAAAATTTTGCTTAACTTTAATTAGAACTTAAATACCCGACATGTGGCTATTATATTGGACAGTGCAGGTCTAGGGTTTTTGTCATAAGAAATGAATGACTAAAGGAGAATACCAACGAAGTTCACTTGCATCATTGAACAAATCAGGAAACTGAGAGCCCAGAGTGTCAGATCAATTGTGCATATATATACATTCAAGAATGCTCAGGATCATGGCAAGATCTGATTGGAGTAGGAGACTATTAGCTAGGTTCCAAAGTCTTCGAAGAAGCCTCAGTTAGAGTAATGTTTTCTCCCATATAGACTATCTAAAGTACACAGAGAGAAATGTTTCTGCAGCAGCAACAGATGCTCCAGAGAAGTTTTTTTTGTTTTTATTTTTTATTTTATGTATTTATTTATTTTTTTTGAGACAGAGTTTCGCTCTTGTTACCCAGACTGGAGTGCAATGGTGCGATCTCAGCTCACCGCAGCCTCCGCCTCCCGAGTAGCTGGGATTACAGGCACGCGCCACCATGCCCAGCTAATTTTTTGTATTTTTAGTAGAGACGGGGTTTCACCATGTTGACCAGGATGGTCTCGATCTCTTGACCTCATGATCCACCCGCCTCGGCCTCCCAAAGTGCTGGGATTATAGGCTTGAGCCACCGCGCCCGGCCCTATTTTTGTTTTTTAAGACAGAGTCCCACTCTGTCATCCAGGCTGGAATGCAGTGGTGTGATCTCAACTCATTGCAATCTCTGCCTCGAAGTAATTCTCCTGCCTTGGCCTCCCAAGTAGCTGGGATTACAGGCATGTGACACCATGTCCAGCTAATTTTTATATTTTTAGTAGAGATGGGGTTTCACTATGTTGGCTAGGCTGGTCTTGAACTCCTGACCTCAGGTGATCCGCCCACCTTGGCCTCCCAAAGTGCTAGGATTACAGATGTGAGCCACTGTGCCTGGCTTCCAGAGAAGTTCTGTGCAACCAAACTAGAGCAGTAATGTGGTCATTGAAGATCTGTGAGGCAGAAGTTTGATGCAGTGAGAGGAAGGAAGCCAGCGTGTAGGAGTGGATGAAAGGTTAAGGTATGGCCAATTTTCAAAAAGCTCCTCTCTGAAGGCAATGTGAGGGGAGGTGGTAGCTAGAGGGAGATGTGGAATTTTGCTTTTGTTTAACAAATGCTGAGAAATAGAGCTTGAGAAATGACCCTAAAAAGTGAAATTTCTTCGTATTTTTAAACATTTAAAAGTTTAAAACATTAAAATAATTATAATTATAATTATTTTTTTGAGACGGAGTTTTGCTCTTATTACCCAGGCTGGAGTGCAATGGCATGATCTCGGCTCACCGCAACCTCTGCCTCCTGGGTTCAGGCCGTTCTCCTGCCTCAGCCTCCCAAGTAGCTGGGACTACAGGCATTTGCCACCATGTCCAGCTAATTTTTGTATTTTTAGTAGAGATGGTGTTTCACCATGTTGACCAGGATGGTCTCGATCTCTTGATCTTGTGATTCACCTGCCTCGGCCTCCCATAGGGCTGGGATTTTAGGCATTAGCCACCACGCCTGGCCTTATTATTTTAAAATTTAAAATTTTTCTATAAGTTCCTCAGTCACACTAGTCACATTTAAAATGTTCAACAGCCATTTTGTGGCTAGTGACTATGAAACTGAACAGCACAAATACAGAACATTTTACTCACCGCAGAAAGTTCTGTTGGATAACAGTGCCATGGATCTTGTCATCACAGAGCACTAAATCACAATGAATAGTTAATGTTGCCAGCTGTTGAAGAGAACTCATTTTCATGAGTGAGGCATGTGGGAGAAATGTTGAGGCTGAGTTCATACAGGGTCTCCTCTGTGAGATGGGGTGGAAGGAAGCTGGGTGACGATAGTGGAAATATTGGTTGGGCCAGATTTTAAATAGCCTTGAATGACATTATGAAGTAATGCTGACTTTATCTGTTAGTTCATAGAGAGCCAAGGAAGATTTTAAACATGCGAGTCTCCTGTGAGAGTCTGTGCTTCAGAAATATTACTCTGGCAATATCAAGGACTGAGAGCTAACTGTAAAGTGTCCAGACTAAAGGTAGACAGATTGTTATCAAACAAGAAACAATGAAAGCCTGAATTATAGCAGTAGCAGAGAGGATGGAGACAAGTTGGTGAACTTAATAGTTTAGAGATGGAATGAGCACAACCTGTGGTGATGGAACAAGGGGAAGTTGTACAGACCTGTTTTTACTGGAGTTGACTAGGTGACTGGTGAGCTTACATTTGAGTTCTTTCTCAAAAGAAAGAACAGGCATTTGAGAGTAGAGTGAGTTGCAACAGCTTTGTTAAGATACAATATATAGACTAAGCAATTTATCCACTTGGAGTATACAATTTATGTTTTTAGTGTACTCACAGAGTTGTTCAACCATCATCATAGTCCATTTTAGAATGTAAAAGAAATCTAGTATGGAAACCTAGTATACCCATTAGCAGCCGTTTCCCGTTTCATCCCAGCCCTCCCAGCACTAGACAACTACTAATCTACTTTCAGTCTGTGAATTTGCCTATTCTGGACATTTCTTGTAAGTAGAATCATGTAACATGTCATTTTTTCTTTTAATAGAGATGGGGTTTCACCTGGTTGGTCAGACTGGTTTTGAACTCCTGACCTCAGGTGATCTACTTGAATCCCCTTGAGTGATTTCAATTCCCATTGTTCAGGGCTCTGTTTTTATCCGCAGCATACTTCTTCTCTTATCACCAACCTGAGGCATTTGACCTATTCTATGTTCTTTAGTCGGTCTCTTTGGAATACTTAAGATACTTATTTCTTAAGGACACTGACCAATAGATTCCCTATTTTGCTTAGTTTCCTGTCTCTTTCCTTAATTTCTGTTGTCTTCACAGAATCCATATAGTTGAATATTTTTAAAAAGAGGGCCAGGTGTGTGGCACACTTCTGTAATCCCAGCACTTTGGGAAGCTGAGGCAGGCAGATCACTTGAGGTTAGGAGTTCAAGACCAGCCTGTCCAACAAGGTGAAACCCCATCTCTACTACAAATACAAATGTTAGCTGGGTGTGGTGTCATACACTTGTAATCCCAGCTACTCAGGAGGCTGAGGCAGGAGAATCGCTTGAACCCGGGAGGCGGAGGTTGCATTGAGCTGAGATTGCACCACTGCACTCCCGCCTGGGTGACTGCCTGGGCAACAGGGTGAGACCCTGTCTCAAAAAATAATAATAAAAACGTATTTTTAAAAAAGAGTTAAAACCTACCCAGTCCGCCTCCCCAAAATGACTTATAAATGCATTTTTCCATTATATGTGACTGCCCACCCCCAGTTTGGAGAGTTGTTCATGTTCTTATTTAGAAACATATACTAATTATGTACTTAAGTGCCATGTGTCAAAATAGTCCTTGATTTCTAAGATTTCATAGTGGTTCAGTAGGAAGAGGCTGACATATGAACACAAAATTACAGTATACTCTGAAAAGTGCTCTTGCAGGGCAATGTACAAGTGGTTATGGGAGCCCCTGGAAGAAGGGGTTGGGACAATGTTTTGAAGCAAATGTCACCTGACATTTCTACACTTAACAAGTATATACTATCACAGAAGCAGCCTGATGAAGAGCACCTGCCTTCTTTCAGCCTTACAACAACCTGGTGAGGTGTAGTTTTTGACTCCCATTTTAGAGAGCATTCTGAAGTTCAGAAAGGCTCAGTGTCTGGCTCTTAAAACACAGATTCTAGATTCAGCTTCTGTGTTCGTCCCCTCCCCCTCCCAGGACATCTATGCCCTTAAGCAAGGCATAGAATGTACCTATGCACGGTACTAGAATGTCCTGCCAGCTCCTCTCCTTTAGTTCTTTCTCCTTAAGCAAAACTGGAGTCTCAGATTCCTCTTTTCTGTGTCTAGCCTGCTTCCGGTGTCATTGGTGCATTGAGTATTCCAGGGCTGTAGCAGTAGTGAATATTGCTGATGTCATTGTTTGCCTTATTGGGATTTTGCTCTTTGTTTCACAGGGAGCTGTGATTGGTATAGACGATGAGGACGACAGCACCTTCACAATAACTGTTGATCAGAAAACCTTCCATTTCCAGGGTGAGCTGAAAGAAGAGATTCTTTCTCTTCATAGTCCCATCTGCTTCCTTCCTTCTCTTTTGGGTTGTTTGCTGGATGACTTTAATGGTTTTGCAACTGATCCTGCATGAACGAGTGCACAGGAACGTTCTGGATGAAGTGGTACTGCAGGTTAGGCAGGGATTTGTATCTGCAGTGGATGTAGATCAATTTGAAATGACTGTGGATCTGGCTGCAGTTGGAGATTAAAAATTTTAAAGGATAAAAATCAGTGAAGGGAGAGAGTAATGGGCTGCTGCTGCTGCTGGCTTGTGTTTACAGAAGGTTGCTGATCTTCTTTATCGAAGAGTATGGTTCTGCTTCTTCATGAAGAATCTAAAGACTGATTGCGAAGGTTGCAGTATTTGTCTGTGTAAAACTCAAAATATAAATTAAATTGAAGCTTAGTGGCAACCTTTGACTTAAAGGTTTTCCTCTGCTTTAAGAACTACAAGTTTTCGTTCATTTATCTGTTTTTCTGTTTTGTCTGCCAGCTATCATTTCTCTGCTGTTATCCTTTTTATAGTTAAAAACACCAATGCCATCTGCCACTGCTATGTTTCGGCATTGCATTCTATGGTTCACCGGTAGAAAGGGTAAGGTACTGTATGATCATTCTCATTTCATCTTGCTTTGAAAACTCAAAACCAGAAAATAAAAGTCTGTGATCTTGTCCTAAAGTACCTCTTGTCTGTTAGGAGTATCTGTTAGTTTTACTATTAATGGTTTTGTTATTTTGCCTTTTCAGAGTAATCATTCTTTTATGATTAGAGCAGTCCAAGAAATTTAGAAATGAAAAGATTAGGAGAGATTAGCACTTTCTCCCAACTACAAGTAATAGTACACTGTTAGAGATGCTAGGTATGCCAAGATAAATAAGTATTAAATACATTTATTGCTTTAAAATGTTTTGGTTATGAAATCTAACAGAGGCCAGATAGGTTATGTGAGGTATTTAGGCAGCTATTGTCTTTAAATGTTTTGGTTATGAAATCTAACAGAGGCCAGATAGGTTATGTGAGGTATTTAGGCAGCTATTGTCTTTTCGTGCTAGGATAGTGAACTGCAGTTATTTTTCTTTATTTTCTTGTTTCAGAAATTGACACAGTAATGAAAGATGCAGGTTATATTCAACAAACATAAACCAGTGTACTCAATTGTGATATCTCTAATACTTTCTTTTGCATATCCTTAAAGTATTTACTGTGTTTGGTGATATTATTTATTCAGAGCTGCTTAAATAATGTTGCTCTCCTGAAATTTTCTGCTGTATTTAACTTCATAAAACATTTTAAATCCTTAAGCCCAGAGTCTTTATTTTTAGGCTAAATATGTAATGCTGCTTATAAACCAAAGCAGATAATTTCTACACCCCGGAACTCTACTTGAATGAAGTTGAATATTTTAATGCATTTCAAAAAAGAGCTGCTGGGTGCAGGTAGGGCTGCAGTATGGAATTCTCTTGTCTGTAGTTGCTAAGGAGACACCTCCTTTGGACCCTCAGAAGCTGTATTGTTTGCTTGTTTAAAGGAGAAGGGACTCAAATCTCTAGAGCAAAGGTACTTCTACCTTCTGATTTACTTTTAAATTATTTATCTCCCCATTAGCACTCTCATATTTATGTGGCTTATAAAACAAGAAATTTTCCTAAGGAAGGATTTAAATGATAAGAGGTACAATTTAAATATTTAAAAAATTGATTCATAATTTTGAAACTGTCAGAATATTCAGTTTATTTTCTATTATAGTAGTTATGAGAGTCTTAGCTCTGGATTCTGAATTTTGCAAAGAACTTGGTAAGACTGTATTTTTTGTTGTTAATAATGAGAGCTATTTCACATTCATAGGTCCTTGATCATAAAATCTCTGCAAATTTGATAAAAGGTTATCAATAAGAGATCTTAAATTCTTGATTAGAACTGAAAGCAAATTTTAGCTATATATGTGAACGTATGTTTAAATGTGCTGAAGTTTTTATTGAATACACCAGGTTTTTTGAAAGTAAATGAAATATCAGTTCATGCATTTATAAAACAAATTCTACTGTCAGCTATTAAAGGGAAAGCTAGAATTTGTTCAGATACATTCATTTATTCACTCAGCATCTATTTTAGACATTATTCTGGGGATAGAGTGGTATACAAAGCAGATAAAACTCCTTGCCCTTTGGGTCATCCATTCCAATAAAAGAGAAAGGTAATAACACAATAAGTTCATAAAATATAAGTAAATGAAAGTGATAAGACCTGGGGAGAAAAACATAAAATAGGAAAGGAGAAAATGAAATAGAAGTTCATGCGGGGAGGGGGAAGGTATTGAAATTTTAAATAGGGTGGTTAGTATAAAACTCAGTAAGATGGTGCCTTTTAGTGAAAGAGCTGAAGAAAGTGAGGAAACAAGGTATATGGCTACGTTGGGGAGGATACGTCATTTCTCTATCTGGAATGACGTACCCACTCTGCCTCCCTCCTTAACACTGTCATATACTTTGTTTTGTTTTTGGTTTTCTTTTTTCAGTTTATAGTCATATATTTGAAGAACAGCTGGAGGACAGCTCTGGTTGGAGTGCAGATAACCATGGGGGAGAGTAATGGGGAATGAAATCTGAGAGGACATAGGAAGTCCAATTATATGAAGCCTTTATACTGGCATTGAATTTGACTGAGTTAAAAGGCCATTAGAGGGTTTTGAGCAGAGGGGTGACATGGTGTGATGTATGTTTTAACAGGATGACTCTGCCTCTGTCTTGGGAGTAAAATGCAGAGGGGCAAGGGCAGAAGTTGGAAAACTATTTCTGCAGTAGACTGTTGTAAACCAAAGGAGTGGTGGTGGTGCTCCCACATGTTAGTTAGCAGTGGAGATGGGGAGATAGTGAGAAGTGTTTGAATTGTGTGTATGTATAATCAACCTTATTGAGGTATATTAACATATATCATAACTACCATCACAATCAAGATACAGATTCCATCACTCCAAAAGATTCCTTTATACCTCTGTCAGTCAGTTCCCAGCTCCAGCCCCTGGCCATTAGCAACCAGTGATCTGCTTTCTATCATCGTAGAATAGATGTTTTGTTTGGAGAATTTCACATAAATGGAATCATACAGTATATACTCTCTTGTCTGGCTTTATTTTAGCTCAGCATAATGTTTTTAAGATTCATCCATGTTGTTGCATATGTTAGTAGTCCCTTTTATATTGCTAAATAATATTCTGTTATATGATGGTATATTTATTCTGAAGGTTGAGCTGTAGCATGTGACAGAAAAACAAGTCTAGGTCAAGTAACAAGAATGGAGTTGCCATTAAACTGAAGTGGAAGATCGCAGGAGGAACTAATTTGGGAGGGTGAGGGAAATGTGAGCATCAGGAGCTTAGCTTTGGACATATTTATTAAACAAGCTTTAGATATCCACCAAGCAGGCAAATGGAGATGTCAAGTAGACAGTTGGAGTTCAGTGGAAAAGTTTAGACTGGAGAAATAAAGTTGGGAGTCATGGGCACATAGATGATATATAAAGCCACAAGAATTCGGGAGTAAGTATGGAGAGAAAAGAGGTCCGACTACCGAGCCCTGGGGTGCTCAACACTTATAGAGAGGGCACAAGATGAGATAAAACCAGCAAGAGATCAAGAAGAAGCAATCAAAAAGGAGAAGGAAAACCAAGGGAATGTGGTACCCTGGAAGGCAAGAAAATGTGTTTCTAAGAGGAGAGAAGGATCAACAACTGTGTCAAATGCTACTGACAGCTCAAGTAAGATGAGGATTGAGAAACAGTTGCGGGATTTAATAATGAGAAGTTTGTTGGTAACCCTGTGAAGAGTGATTTTTAAGATAGGAGTATAGACAATGCATTCAAGTTGTGATGTAATGGGAAGATGAGAAATATAGCTGGAACTGGAAGGGGAAGTTGTAACAAGGGAGCTTTTGTTTTGTTTTTGTAGGATAAGAGAAATAATAGCATTTCTATGTTATTGGCAGTGATTCAGTAAAGAGGGAAGAATTGATGATGCAAGAGAGAAAGGAAAAAGTTGCTAGATCACTGTCCTGGAGAAAGCAAGAGAGGATGGGATCTAACACACAGGTGGGAGCAGTGTCTTTGGCTTGGAGCATGGACAGTTTATCTAAAGTATCATAACACAGCTGTGATTGTTGATGAGACCTTAAACAGATTAAAGCAGTGGTAATAGGGAGGAAAACAGACTAGATTTGATATTTTAAAAAATCTATAGAACTGGGGCACAGTGGTGTGCACCTGTAGTCCCAGCTATTCAGGAGGCTGAGGCCAGAGGACCACTTGAGCCCAGGAATTTAAAATTGTAGTGTTCTATGATCACACCTGTGCATAGCCGTTGTACTCTAGCCTGGGCAATATCGTGATGCCCTGTCTTTAAAAATTTTTTTTAATCTATAGGAACTGGTGATTGCTCGGAAATGGGAGGTGAGAGAATTTGGGTACTAAGGGTGATGCTCTTGGCTTGGCTTACTGTTGGATGTTGTCAACATCTCCCCTCCCCTCCGCTACCCCTTACCCCCTCCCCTCCCCTCCCCTCCCCTCCCCTCCTTCCTTTCTTTTTTCTTTCTTTCTTTCTTTTTTTCTGTTTTTAGTTTTATGTGTGTGTGTATATATATATATATATATATTTTTTTTTTTTTTTTTTTTTTGAGACAGGGCCTTGCTCTGTCACCCAGGCTGGAGTGCAGTGGCATGATCATGGCTCATTGCAGCCTTGACTTCCTGGGCTCAAGCGATCCTCCCACCTCAGCCTCCCAGGTAGCTGGGACCCACTAAAAAATTGAGCCTGCACCACCATGGCCAGCTAATTTTTTTTTTTAATACTTTTTTTAATTTTAATAGTTATTTTTTGAGTTAAAACTCATATGTATGTATGTTTAATCAACTTTATTGAGGTATAACTTATTATGTTGCCAGGGCTGGTCTTGAACTCCTAGGCTCAAGCAATCCTCCTGCCTTAGCCAC